ATTAAGTTGGTAATGGGTTAGTTCTCTCATAACTAGAAACTGTCACTAAAAAGTGACGTTGCTCTTCATTCACTTGATAAACGAGAGAAACCATTTTGGTTGAAAGAGAGAGACAAGGAAGACCTCTTGTATGGTCTTCGATTGCTTCAGCTGCCTACATTAATTTTAGGTCAACAACCAGCGAACCTTTTTGTCCTAATACATAAGCAAATATGATAAATGATCTAACGGTAAATAGTTGGAACCTTTTCTTCAATATTGCTCGATTACGAGGGGGAAGAAGTACTCCTTGAAGAGGCAGCTAACATTGCCAATTAAATTTCTTCGATAATTGGGCTAGACCCCGTTGGCTAAATGGGCCGAAATCCAAATCTTCACAGCATGAGATCGTTTCAAATCATTTGAAGTTTGTCCATAGAATTTATTAATAATACCTGAATCCAAGGCACAATAATTTCATTGTTAATCTTGACGGAAATTGTTATATGTATGTTGGTGGCTCATGATAACTGTCATTCACATCGAATATCAATTTGTAAGTTAATCTGCAAAGCGATAAAGGATGATAAAATTAACTTAATTATCGATCTAGCCTTTAACATTGAAATGGTTGGTATTAATTTGGCATCGTGTCTATCAAATTTCAACTCTATATTACCTACTCACATCTCTCCTTTTCTTTTTCTTTTTCTTTTCGGAGAAGAATTATTTTTTTTAGCTCTAAAAAAGAGATCCAACCTCCCTTGCAACGTCTCATGTATTTTACTTGCTAGCTAGCTGAGTAGAAATTGAAGAAATCGATAATTTTTATTTTTATTTTTTTCTTTCAAGGATTACTTTATAGGAAGGATGACTTTAATTAATTTTGCTTATTTAAAAAATAATAAATAAAATTTGCAGGTATGGTTTCCATAATTAATTAAGCTAGATATATACTAACTATCTACAGCATCTTAAATTTTCTTAAATATCTTCAAATACAATTATTGGTTTAAAATAAGAAAAAAATTGTGGAATTATATAATCAATTGTACCATATCAGTTAATTCCTAATTAATAGCATGCAGCAACATTTTGTTTTTGTTTAATAAGAAATTAATAATGAAACATACCCATTATCTATAAACATATAAAAAAAACACAGAAATTAGCAAACTCAAAAGCTTTTGGTCGGGGAATAATCACTCGTTCTTAATTTCTATATAATAATAATAAAAGATAACAAAGATAAGCAATTGCAAACAACAAGAAAATAGGCAATTAACGACGGATTACATTCGGCGCTAATTAGCTACCGAATGGCGACCAAATAGCTATAGAAATGAAAATACATCAATTTACGATGGAACAACAATGAATTTGAGACGAAAATTTACCAACGGGAAAAATTTCATCACTAAAAGGCACAACAAAAATTCTTGCTAACTTCGGCAATGGAATTGCAACAAATTAGCAAAGAAAATTAGCGATGGAATACAAATTTTATCGCTAAAAAACATCATTGGCTTAGCGACCGATATAATATGTCGCTACTCGTCGCTAATTAGAGATGAAATGTATTTCATCGCTAATTGCCTAGCATTTTGAAAATATCTTAAAACTAGGCACTCTTTTAAAATTCAAATTAGCGACGGACACTTACATTCGTCACTAATCTTCGTCGCTAGTTAGTGATAGATTAGCAATGAAATCGCGTCCGTCCGTAATCCTAAATCCCTATAAATTGATAACCCCTTTCTTTTCCCCCTAATTTTTCTTTCTTTCCCTCTCCTCATCCTGTCCTCCTCTCCTACTGCCGCCACAAATAGCCCCAATCACCGCCCCATGCCACCCCACTCCCTCCCTAGCCCACTCAATCCGGCAAGGCGCCCCTCTTTGCCCAAAAGTCACTATGGCGAGTCTCTCATCTCCCTTTCATTTAGTTAGTGTCCTCTCTCTCTCTCTCTCTCTCTTTCTCTCTCTTGTTTTTTTTTTTTGTTAATTAGATTAAATTTGTTAGTTGTTAGGTTAATTTTGTTAATTGTTAGTTTAATTTTATTAATTTTTAGCATTAAGTTAAATTTTATGAAATTGTTGGGATAATTTAGATAAATTGGTTGATTAATTATTAGGTTAAACTTTTGTTAATTAATTTTTAATTTGTTACTTTTTAAATTTTTTTGTTAGTTATTATTTTAATTTTATTAATTGTTTTTTTTCTATTTTAAAACTTAATTAACATTCGAATTAGGATAAATTTAATTAGTTAGGATTAATTTAATTAAGTTAATTTGATTTAGTTAATTTAATTATGGTTGTTTTTAGTAATTGATTGATTTTTAATATTAATTATAATCCAATCGGTTAATTAATTGATATTTACAATTTAATTACTGTTTGAATTAAATTAAAGCCATAACATTCAAAAAGCAACAAGAAACAAACGTTTCATCGGATTGAAAGCCATTTATAGATCTTAAAGCTCCATTAATTTATTTTATATGTAACTCCGGTACATGGTGCACAATCGGCTTGTATTCAAAGCATATATATATATATATATATATATATATATATATATATATATATATATATATATATATATATATATATATATATATATATATATATATATATATATATTCCAAAATAAAATAAAAGACATATCGAAAATAATACACCATAAACAATTACATATTTCCACTAATAATTTTATTAAGTTTGTTATTGATTCTTATAATTTCATAGTAATAATCTAGCAATTAATGCGTTATTTATGTATCCCAATTTCAAAAAAATAAAACAAGGCATAAGCATTTTTTTTTTAATAAAGTTACACTTGAAATCTTTTAAGCGGACCATGCCTAATTACTGTAATATAATTGATGATCTAGGCCTTTATATAAAAATGTTTGGGCTCGATTAGCATATAAATAAACAAGTATTAGATTACCGATGTTGAGCTAAAACCCTAGTCCATGTCCAACGTTAAGTGTGGGCTTCACATAAGTGTCCTATCACTTTTATAAAATAATTCCTTTACCTTAATTTGATCAATTATTAATTAAGAATAAAAATCCTAAAATATGGTCAAAAACTTATGTTTGAAAAATTCATTTAATTATTAAAATAAATTACCTTGGATTAAGCTAAACTAATTTGTGTCTTTAATTTTTCTCAAATTAACTACTAAATTTTGGAATTATTTAAAATATTCATTATATATAAGAAATAATCAAATTGGCCTAATCTATTAAATTCCTAAATTTTTCTGTTTGAGGCCACTCACAAGCTACGAGATGGCTCTTTTTTCGATGTCGCTCGTCCGGCATACAATGGTAAGTGTTTTTAAATTTTTAAATTTTATATATATAAATATAATTTAAAAAATTATTTATTTTTTAATGTTATTATTATTTTGATTACGCAGGAGCGTGTTGATGATCTCATATGGGAAGCTACTGCGAAGAAACAGGCAAAAAGAATCTTGAAGCCACAAGTGGATAAGAATGCCATATACATTAAGACTATAGGAGACAAGAAGAAGAGGCTATATAGTGTAGGCACACAAGCGTCGCATTATCTTTCCAAGACAAGTGACGCCAACTCGTCCTTTGTGTCGTCGCATTATACTAGCGACATTTCTCATGAGGAGATTTAGAGGGTGTGCGAGGAGGCAATGTAGAGGATGTAGTCCAAACAAGACGAGTTGAAAAACATTATTGCACAGCAGCAGAGTATCATATAAGAGCTGCAATCTCAATATGAGCCTCTTGCTTCAATGTTGAATAGGTTGGCGTAGACGAATCGAGGTTGCCTACGGATCCGCCCACCAGCTCGAGACTATATCGTCCCTCCCATTGAGCCTTAAGAGGAGGAAATGGAGTCGGATGATCGGGATGAGGATCGGGAGTTATATTTCATTTTTTATTTTTTTTACGTACTAATAAATATTTTTTATTAATATTAATTTAAATTTAATTTATAATATTTAAATTTTAATAATACGTTGTGTATTTTAATGGTTAGTTACCATCGAAAACATCACAAATTTAAAAACTAAAAAAAATAAATTTAAATAGTAAACTTAGCAATGGATTAGCATTGGAATTTTTTTATATTTCGCGACATAATAACGACGCATTATTAGGTGTGAAGACGTTTTGGTGACCAATTAGCGACGGAATATGAAGATTTAGCGACACATTCTGTTTGTTCGTTGCTAGGATTAGCAACAAGCGTTTTAGCGACGGATTTTTTTAATTGCAAATCTGTCGCTAAATGCTTTTAACGATGGAATTTCCCTTTATAACGACTGATTTTTTCATCGCTAACTCCTGTATTTCTTGTAGTTAACATATATAGATGCACACAAGAGACGTACTCCAGGACTTGTTTATTTGGTAGTCTCTTTAAATTCAAGCAAGTTTCGGATTAAAATGGTTATAATTTCTTCAGTTCTAACAAAGTTATGTCGAAGAAGTATACTACATTGAAGCCCTTAGATGAATGAAAAAAAACGACAACAACATACCATATCATATAAAGTAAAGTTAAAAAAAAATGAAACAGGATACATATTCTGAAATTATTTTTCAATGCTTCATGAAGTTTCGGTCATTCGGTGAATTTTCTGAAGGCATGCAATATACAAAGTTATATATATACACCAAGGGCAAAACCAAGAAAGAAAAAGGACCAAATTTACCAAAAAAAAAAAGAAAAGAAAAGAAAAAATGAACGAAAAATAATGAACATTCCGACATGAGAAAGGTTATGGTGAAACCAGGTCTTAAATCATCAGCTATCCTGTTTTTCGACTTCATCCTCTCCAGGAAACTCCAAGAAGCAGTGGCGGTTCCTTCCATGATTAAACACCGTCTCATTTATTATATTTACCAGATTAATTAGATCATATATATACATATATACACACATATATATTCCATGAAGGTTTCTCTATGTACAAGGTTTTATTGTTGCCGATTGATCTCGAGCAAAATGGTCACTTCCTCTCTCAACTATCCAAAGCATTTATCACTATCCTGCATAACAAATATATTGGTAAACATCAGGGGCCATCCATAAAACTAGATAATATATAAACGTGACTATGAAAAAAAAAATATGAGAGAGAACCAATCAAAAACTGTCAGACTTCTAGGCTCAGCACTTTCTAATGCTTCAACTGGCAATTTTCTCCTCGTTATTCTCCTGAAATCCCCGCGTGGTGTCCCAGCTGCATGCATACATAACATAACCAAAGACCAAATTAACATAAATACACATCAACTAAATCAAGCTTTTTACTGAAAGAACCAATTAAAAAGATGTAGTTCAATTTATATTAATGTTTTTCTTTAAGAAGTTTTTAATTTATAATAAAAAAATGAAAAAAAGAAGAAACTTGAAATCTTACACATAATACTGCACCAACCAGTCAAAAGACATCACGTTTTGGCCTTCTCCGGCTATTTCTTAAGCAATAAATCACCAATTAATAGAACAAGGCTGTGTATCTATCAAGGTTGTGATGAAACAAACAAACATGAAAGAAATTGATGAAAAGTAGAAATTTCGTACCCCCTCCTCTATATTTATTACCATTAAATTCATATATTCTTACCATCTTTTTTTTTTCTCCCTGGCTACTACTTTCTTAGCTGCCATTAATATCCGTCATTAATTCTATAATTAAATTCTTAATTTTAAGATCGATTTGAAGCAAAACCAACTTGCAGGTTCCTATTTTGACTTCGTTTCTTAATTACCTCATCTAAGCAACCGAATAAAGAACGTATCAAATTAGAAAGTAGCGTGGTAAATAAAGAGAGGAAAAGAAAAACAACCATTCACAATAATTGGTTGACATATAGTATATTCTAAATACTTCACTCATACAAAACCATTCATAATAATTTATATAGTAGTAAAATACTAATCGAGCAGAGAAATATAGTCTAACTTACGTGTCAGAGGTGTCCCAGGAGTGCTAGGTGGAGCAGGCGACTCAGGAGCTGAACCAGGATCTACAGAAATGTTCCTGAAATTGGAACTGTTTGTCCTAATAATAGTAATGCTTCGAGTTACGTTTATCTCCTCGTTGCTATTAGCTGCAACAGGTGGTGTTGAACGTGCAGAAAACGAATCGTACTTTCGAAGTTTGCCAAGCCCAGTGTCCGGCATAGGGCCAGCAAGCGTTTCGTCCCAAAGCTTATGGAGAAATCCCATTATGGCAGAAATATTCAGATTTTCTCTTTTGTAACAACCGAAAGAGACCTAAAATCAAAACAATTTTTTATTCTTGTTTTTCGTTTTGTTAGACCTTAACACGTACGACTGTCACTAAGAGAGGGAAAGGGAAGCGAAACGCAGAAAGAAGATAAGAGGAAGTTTTTATTTTATTTTATTTTATTTTATTGAGTATTTTTCTGTGAAGAAATGGTGGTTTAGGGTTCTTTATAGAGGAAAGTTTGAGAGAGAAGAAAGAGAGGATAAGGTGGTGGATATTGATGGTTGTAATGATGCTTCGGCTCCGGCTGATATGGCTTTGTTAGCAGCCATCAAATTTATTTGGTAAATTTTCTAGATCAAGTGCCATACTTAGCTTGCTATTCAAAAACCTGATGGATATAGGATAACCATGCTTAGTAACTTAAAAAAGGAAAGTAAATTGAATATATATATATATAAAGTTTTCTATGTGGTTTTCTTAAAACAAAGAAAGAGAGGCATTTTTTTATTGGTTAAAAATTATATTTACTAGCCAGAATCTATTGAATTCTATAAATATTCGAAACAAGTAAAAATTTATATTTTTTTTATTTTTTTTCAATTTCTAAATGTCTTTTTAAACTAATTTATACATCAATGTGATTGATTTTTCTCTCTAGATAACTATAAGAGTCAATAAAAAATTAATATATGCAACATAAATATTCTGATGGGTATTTATCGATCATTGTTTAGAATTAAGAAAAAAATCAAAATCGGAAAAAAAGAAAACGAGTGAAATATTAGTGCTGTTTTTTGCGGAAAATTTTGTCATTGTTAAGTACTATATATTTAAAGTTAGCATCAAACATTTTTTGTATCTCTACTTTCTTCAATAACATTTAAATTACAGTCAGCTTTAATTTAGTGAAGCCGAGTTTGTCTATAAGCCCAAAATAATAGGAATTGACTTGGTCAGGCAATCAGTGGGCTAGACACGTAGATCCCACAGATGTATCCATTTTTACACGTCAACTGGATAAGGCTTTGTGTAAATCTAGATCTACCAAAACTGGATGTTGAAGTGTTATCGAACTCAACGCGACATGCATCATCCTCTACAGCCGCAAGCAGAATAGCAAGTGTACATGGATGGATCAAGCGTTAAACTAAATTACTTTTAATAGTTATAAAAAGTTTATGTTTTTTTTAGAAGAGAGCTAAAGTTTTGGAGGGTTTAAATAAACTTACAAAGTTTTAAAGTCACAATTCTACAAACATCTTCTAACAAGATGTTAATATATCTCATCAAAACAATCTAAAATAAGAAATTTCTAACAAGAAAAATATATAAAAAAAAACTAATTAAACTATATTACAATTGGCTTCTTTATAAATATAAAAAATCTGAACTCACAACTATCACTATAAGAGATCACAAATGGTATTATACGAAATGACTACAATCATCGTGACCTTTTCTAAAAAGATAAAGTCTGAATTGTCAATTGAGAGTGTCTTTGACAACACTTGGTTGTGTTTGTTTGGGAGAAAACAAGTTTCGGGAACTTGTTTTCCTCATTTTTCAGTATTTGTTTCGCGTTTAAGAAAAAAGTCAACGAACAATGATTTTCAATCAACGAAAATGATAGAGTATTTTTGAAAAAATGTTTTCCCAATTTAAAAAGAGGAAAACATTTTCTTTCTCACGAGTTGTCTCGCTCTTGCGTCACTTACCTCTTTTTCGCTATATTTTAACAATTTGTTTCTCTATCTTTTTATTTATTTAAAATATATCAAATTAATTTTTAATTATTCTTTATCAATTATTATTTAATTATTTAATTATTTTTTTCAATTTCTACTAATATTTGATTTTTTGATCTATAGATGCATTAAATATTCTTAAAAATCATTTTTACACCTTAAAATTATTTTTATAATAATGTGAATGTTGACTTGATTTTGTCCCAATTAATTTTGATGAATTGGTTTGATGGTTAAAAAAAGTATATTTTATTTTTTGAATTAAAATTTTAGAGTCGGTATTTATGAAAATTTAATAGATTTTTCTAAATGTATTTTATTTTCTGAAATTATGAATATGCCTTTTTGAAGTTTTCTCAAAACTTGTTGATGTAATAATCGCATACTATTTTTGTATTTTAATTTTACGTATTAAATAAACGCCGGAATATATTTTTCAATAGTTTTTCCATGTAATTATCAATCGACATAAAATATTTTCTAAAAAAATATTTTATGTCGATTGATAATTACATGGAAAAACTATTGAAAAATATATTCCAGCGTTTATTTAATACAAAAAATTAAATAGCTTCTGAAAAATATTGAAAAAACTATTGAAAAATATTTTCCGTATTAAAATATATTTTTTAAAAAAATAATTTCCTGAAAAATAGCTTCTTCAAGAATTAATTTTCCTATGAGAGTTGTTTTCCGTCAAACAAACAGAACCTTGTCTATAATTATTCACTCAAATTATCTCCAATCTAATGAGAATATCCTAAAGTTCAATATATAAACACTAATATGATAAGAGAAGCTTTCTATCTAAATGTCACGAGCGACATCATGGCAAAGTAAATTTATTAAATTTGAAGATAAGGATCTAAAAATATCTATTAAATTCTTTTGAATATATTAAATCAATATGAAAATTGTGCTTTAAAATTATTTAATGTCAATAATATCCTTAGTCCATGTTGAAATGCAAACTAATCCAATAATATTTTCACTGTAAAAAGAAGAAGAAGGAAGTACGCTCCATACTTGAGGAAACATCAAGAGTATACAACTCGGTCCAAACTTCTGGCAGTCGTATATACACCCATATTGTCGTCGTGCCTTACTATATGTCAATCTATTTTTAACTTGCAGATAATTCAACCTTTGCAACTTGGAGGCCTGCTTTATCTAACCTCAAAAGTATTTTAATCATTTGCCATCAATTTAAACAGACCATCTGAGGGGCTAACTTAATCCTGACTAAGAGACATGGAATTTGATGACCCATTAAAGTTGATTAGACCTTCTTATTATTTAGTTTGGAGAAAGATTTTGGTCTGCAGCTTGAAAAACGACATCTATGCTTCATCAATTATCCTTGAATAAATAAATAAAAGTAACTGGATCTTCACAATGTTTCAACAAGGTAATCGAATTCATGTTTTTCAAAAGCAAACGTTTTAGTCGAAAGGAAAGCAATCAATTTTCATTGGAATTAGAACATAAGAGACGTATTCTCCCATAGTTGGCTTAATTCTTTTATTGGATCACGAAAATTAACACATAAAAAGTCGTCTGGTCCGCCCCACCACTTGGGTGTGTTATCATGAAATGCTCTTATATGGGGACCTCCAAAGACTTCCATGTTGATGTGCTCTGTCTGCTCATGGCCTTATCATGCTTGATCGCAGTTTCAACGTAATTATTCAATTCGGTTAGGTCATGATAGTGAAACCATACAATTAATTCAATACTTTCTTTCTGCATTTCGCTATCTAGTTTCTTATTTCCCCTAAACAACCACTCACCTAAAACTCTCTTACTGTGGAATAGAGTGTGGGTTGTCTTAAAATTGTTGGATGACAGTAGAGGTCTCTGTGGTACTGATTTTGATTTAAAAAAAAAACACTTTTACGGTTTTTAATTTGGATAATTAGATTATTAACGTCTGGTTCATTACGCAACATGGATTTTTTATATATATATACACAATCAATCTAATTTTCTATTAATTTTAATTTTTAAAGGAAAGGAGGACATGTATTAGCTTTCTACTTTTTCGAATGTTAGAAAAAAAAAAGTATATTAAAAATTAAAAAAAAATTATTTACATTGGATTTATTTTTACACTATTTTAAAAATAAAAAATTTAAATTTAAAAAAAATTACTAAAATATTTTGATTAATTTTTTATTAATTTACGCTATATTTTTTATAATTTTATAATTTTTTTTACGAAGTGCTTGTTAACTTATTTATCACATAAAATTATTCTTTTAATTTTATTGATTCTTTATTTGTTCCATCAATGAAGAATAAAAATATCGATTTATTGATAAAATATACTTGATTCAAGTTGTATTTTTTTTTCATATATATGATTTTTTTTTGTTTAATTTTTCATGAAAGTTTTGGTTTTAAATGTTTGATATTTGATAATTAGTACATAAAATGTATTTATTTCTTAACGTTGTTATTTGGATTTTAAACATAAAAAATGCATCTAGCAAAATAAAAAAAATATGATAAATTGTTTTTAAAAAAATCAAGCTTAATAAAAACTTAACAGATTTTTTTAGTCATTTGTTTATTTTATTTTGCTCTTTTACAATAATGTTTTTAGAACAAAATCTAACGTATATAAAAAAATTGGAAAAAAATATTCATAACAGTAAAAAATATATAAAATTTAACTATTTTTTATTTGTTTAATATTACTTATAATTTGGAACTACTAGAAAGCTGAATTGTGTTTCTTTCTCTTAAAGAAATCAAAATTAACAAAAAAATAAGATTGATTATAGATAAAAATGTTATGAAATAATAAATGTCCATATGAATATTTATATGCTTTTCATATGTTCATTACTCATAATTCTTAATGTAATTTAATTCACCATTCAATATGAGAAATTGAAAGGGTGATGCAATTGATTCAACAATTTATGTACTTTTAATGGTTCATAGTCCCTTGTAATTCTCATCTTAATCTTAAAACCCATAAATAGGTTTGATTGTTCATTAGTTCATGTACAAGTATTTTGAAGAGATTGAGAGAATCATTTAAAGTTGTTACCTCTTATGTTCATTCTATTTTATAATAAATTCATTTTTCTATCATCTTTCTCTTGAATTCTACTATTGTTATTATTTTTTTAGAATACGTTATCGAATGAAGCTCTCGCCAATTTGGATAATAGAACATAAAGTATGTGTCTACCAAAAAGAATCAATTATCTGTTTCAATCATTGGATTGTTTTTCTACACA